TTTATTATTATTATTTATTTCTACATATGTCAGCTGTAAGTCTGTCTGCGTGTAGCACCTTAACACCAAAGCAAATTCCTTGTATGTGTAAAACACTACATGGCAATAAAGCTCCTTCTGATTCTGATTCTGATCAGGACATGTCCTTCAACTCCCACATAAAATAAAATTCAAGGACTGCCTTTTTTTCACCTACGTAAAATTGCAGAAAATCAGGCACATCCTGTCTCAAAATGATGCAGAAAGACTAGCCCATCATTTGTTACTTGGCTGGATTATTGCAATTCCTTATTATCAAGCAGCCCGAATACGTCCCTTAAGACTCTTCAGTTGATCCAGAATGCTGCGGCACATGCACTGACAAGAACCAGGACAAGAAATCATGTTTCTCCTGTTTTAGCTTATCTGCACTGGCTCACTGTAAAATCCAGAATAGAATTTAAAATCCTTCTGCTCACCTACAAAGACCTTTATGGTCAGGCACCATCATGTCTTAAAGAGCTCATTGTACCTTATTACCTCACTAGACGACTGTACTCCCAGATTGCACAGTAACTTGAGTTTCTTACAGTCTCCAAAAGTAGAAAGGAAGCCAGAGCCTTCAGCTATCAAATATAAATATTTGATGTGTCACGTTAGGGTCACTTGTGCTTCCTGCTGCTGTTCACTTGGGGATCAGATGATGATAATGATGATGATAAATAAGATGAATCAGCACTGACATGCTGGTGCCCCTCCTACTCCACTGGCTGCAGCAAAGGTGTAAGTTCATAAAACAACAACAAAAGAAGAAAATCCCTATAAATATGACGATGACAGACACTGATAGACATGCCTAGTTATGACTAATTATGCTGTTTACATTGTCCGCCAGCAGATCATCTTTCTGTGTTAGAGGCTCTCCTCCTGTGATGAACAACCCGTCTTACACTTGCTGCATCCTTTTTTGCCTTGGTCTGGTCATCCTACACAAATTGTAACAAACACACAACCAGAACACAGACAATAAGCTACTATGAAGAAATAATAGTTAATTCCCTATTAATTTTACTATGCCATTTCAGTTAAAATGTTCCATTGAGCATTACACATTTAGGAGAACCAATGCTTGCATACCAAATTCTTGTTCTCACACAAAAGACCACATATGTTTCATCCAAAATAATTTCTCATGAATTTTATTTAAGGGATTGAGCCTTCCAATAACTTTTTTTTCTCCAAACTCTTGTGCACATTTTTACGGTGGTATTAGAGCTATTAAAGATAAATCTAAATAAATTATGGAGCTGGGGAAGGGGGTAATATTCCAAGACAAAAGTTATACATTTATGAGAGAAAAATATATTAATACAAGAGAAGAATCAGTGCAGACGTAAGAGGTGGAGCTTTCAGACAGACAAGGGACTGCAACAAAGCAACTTGAAAGCATGTGTGAAATCATTCATAAATGTTAAGTTATCTTGAAGTTATCTCATAATACTGTTTGGTGAAAGTAGCAAACCGGTAGATGTGACGGCTATTGTTTTTAGCATCTTCATACCCTGCTGAGTACAGAGTCCCTAATAACAGACAGACTGAGCGTTAGCACATCTAAAAAATTGTGTTTTCCAGACATCAATTTGTGGCTTTAATCTCAGAAATTTCCCACTTTTTTTCTCGGAAATTGACAACTTTAATCTTGGATCTTGAATCTTAAGTTTTTTCTCAGAATATTACTCTGTGGGAGAAAAGCCCTCAGTGGGGCCAGATGTCTTCATGTCCTCTCACACATTTTGAATTTCTTAAACCCTTGAGTCCAGTAGAGTTCAGAGCAATATGTGTTTACTGAAAATTCAATACAGAATGCATGTAAATACAAACTGCTCTCAGGGAGCAACTGATCAAGCTTCGATGTACATTCATTTCTTCTGCTCCTCCTTTTGTGAGCAAGGTCCACCTTTTCTGATCTCTTTGCTATTTAAAAATCTCACTCATTTGACCAATCTGGCTCCATCTGGATGGTGTATTTTCCCTGCATCTGACTATAAAAAATCTTTATTGCAACATCAACCAACAGATTACTCATCAGAATGTGCTATCTTATGTGCTGCAATCATAGAGAGGATGAAGGCTCTCAAAAAGTAAATTTTGTTCGTGGGCTGAAATCAAGCAAAAGATGAAAGTTATCAGACCCATGCTCATCAGAGCATGTGCCCAGCTGGGAACATTTGTGTATAGGGCAGGCAGTGAGCGTTTGCCGCAGGACTGCAAGGGATAACGTAGCTTGTCTGATGGCTAAACTTGATGCTCTTATATATCAGGGATGATTAACAAGACCCTTTGTATTTCAGTAATAATTTGTTTAATAAAGATCAAGAGAAAATATTTCCCACAATCCCTCTCCTCCGTCATTTTTTTTTTTTTACTTGCACAATGTAATGTGACTTATATCCGTTTTACGAACTGCACGTCTGTTTACTTCCCATCAATTCTCCAGTAACGTTACTGTCCACTGTTCACAGTTAGCTTTGTACATATTATTAATAGTATTTATTGTTTGTATATGTATATAGTGTTAAGTCACAGTGTAGCACTAACATTAGCCTGATTTTCATAGCTTAGCTAACGTTAGCTGTTGAAAGAAGAATAAAACGACGTCACACACAGCACGTAGCCGTACAGAAGTAAACAGCCACACATGTTAACTCAGTTTAGCTTCTACTTGCCAACTCTCCCGATTTTCACCCAGGTCATCCGGGTCACATTTCTCTGGAATTATGATAAATGTTCACAACTTTCTGTCCTTTCCATGACATTCATTACTGTTTCTGACGCTGTACAGCGCATATGCCCCACAACTCTCTCTTGCTTTCTATGTCTCGCTCTGCTGCGTCCGCTCAGATCAGTAGCATGCATGTAACTCAGAAGAGAGCTTGTGACCTGGTGGATTTCAGGTGTAAGAAATGGAATTTGTAAGCAGATGATAGCAAAGTAGAAGAGGAAGAGAGCCACAAGTTTATTAATGGCTTATGTGGAGCTTTTTCGTTCACATCGCGGCTCCGTCTAGCGTGGAAACAGCTGCTCAAGAGGGACGTCAAAGTCGCATCAATTCCGATCTGAGTGTCCAGACTGAGGTCGCATTTCAAAAAATCCGATCTGTATCGGAGTAGGACCAAAAATGAAAGTGGCTAAAATCCGAACTGGATAAGATCAGATCTGAGTTACATATAAGCAAAAAAATCGGATTTGGGTCACTTTTACCTGCTGTCCAAACTCAGCCTGAGTTACAGACATGCGGCTCACAGATATACCATTACTTAATTTAGGAAGAATAAGTTAACACTATAGTTTAACTCGTTAATGTTGGAGCTCTTCCTCTGATAAACATGGCATTAGCTAGCTTTGTGGCTAATTTAATTTAGGAATGGACAGTGTTAGCTGCTGTAAGTGATGAACTAGTGAGAAATTATGGGGCCGTTTGTAGAACAGAGCACTGTTTCATAAATAAATCCACAATCAATTTTATCAACATTGTAGCCTCCGCCACTTAACTACTGTAACATTAAACATACTTTTGTGACCTGGGAGGATACCGGGAGAGGGTAATGGAAACGGGAGAAATTGGGAGGGCTGGCAACCTTATTGCTTTGTTTTGTGGTAGATTAGTGGCGGTTTTCAACAGGGGAGTTGCAGAGGGCCATCTGGTGGGCAAACTATGCAACACCCATGACATGATTGAAAGATCCATCTCTATTTCGTTTTTTTTAATCATCATTAAGCGTGTTTTATAAAAGTCGATACCAATTAAAATGCATTTAGCTCGTATCTGCTGATAATATCGACCAACCGATAAATAAGTCGAGCTCTAATTCTTACTGTTAACCAACATAATAGTTTTTGGCATTGTGTAAAATTTGTATTTGCACCTATTGGTATTTTGTATTTGCACTCTGTGCGGACTGGTTCCAGCTCCCGCCGAATGAACACGGCAGCCAGGACCAAATACATTCTCAGAGACCGACAGACTACAGGAAAATTTGACGAGAGGTAATAACGTTACAACCGAGTTGGTTTTCTTGCTGGGTTTAGCTCAGGGAACCCCGGGACCGGAGTCAGCTAATAGGACCACTAGCAGCCCGGCAAATGTTAACCGAGCTAACTAGCTACAGATGCAGACAGATAGTTAGCAGCATTTAACGGTTTAGCAAAAAGTAAAGCTATCTGTCCATCCTGAAGCTCTGTAAATCACCTCAGTACTGTATTCCCTGTTGGCCTTCGAGGCTGTGTTTGGTCCTGTTCAGGCTGTGTTCACTGGGAGGCTGCTGAAAGCGGTTTCATTGCCCTGCTTGCCTAAAATCAGTTAATAAAGATGTGTTTTTGTTTTTGTGCAGTAATCAGTGAGGTCCGGTCAGCCCCCAGAAACACTGCACTCCAGTGGCGTCATAAAAATGAGAAAGCTTTTCATTGGATGCTGAATTAAAACACGCCCCTGAGTGCAGGATGAGTCATCAAAATTTTAAAATCATTTTCCAGGAATGACAAACTCTAAAATACCATCAAGAATACACACGAAACAATATTTTTTTTTTATCATTGATGCTGGTGTATTGGTGTTAGTGCCAGGCATATGCAATAAAAACAAAATAACATCGATTTTGATTTCATGGGGACTTTAAGTACAAGACATACATCAACTTTAACCATTTAGAGGTTTGGTTGGTTGTTGACGCAAAAGATTTTAGCCTCAAACACAAAAAATAGACACAAGCTCCGCCTACTAAAGGCAACACAATTTAGGTTTCTAGATTATGAGAGACAATGATTACTATCCAACTCTGTTATGAAATACAACTTATCCTTTAATTACTTAGGGACTTCTTGTGGATTTTGTTTTGCAAATGATTTTTCTCAGTTGAACCTAAGATTTTATTTCACTCACTCACTTGCGCCGGTTCCCCACCCCCACCCCTCGGCGCGGTTAGCAGAGCCCGCCCCCCTCTCCTCTCTCCCCGGCAGCCTCCGCCTCTCTTCCTTGGTTTGTCATCCACACCGCTGTTGTTGCAGCCATTTTACCGTGGAGCGTCGGAACAGCGGCGACCGGAGGATGCCGAAACAGCAGCGTTGAAAGGTAATTCCAACGTTTTTGTTGAGCGCTTTTATACGCGTCGGTAACCTTCACGTTTCCGACTCAGCAAATAAGTCTGGTAATGTCTGGCGAGCTGAGGAGCAGGCCGACCGGAGGGTTTGAGGGAGCCTCCACAACTAGTAGCTGCTCAGACAGAAGAGATTGCTGGGAGAGTGAGTGGCGACAGAGGCTTGTGGCTGGCAGTTAACAAGTCCGTGAGAAAAATGGCGTCGTTCACTAAAGCACTGAAAGTTGTAAATGAGCTTCTGTGGGTCGAGAACATGAATGTGTGTGTGGTTACAGTTTAAAGGTGCAGGATAGCAGTGTTGTACAAATTAAACTGAGTGTTATTTGTGCGCTCGTGAAGGGGGCGCTCGAGAGCTAAATAACGACGTATGTTTGCGCACGCCTTGTAGCTTAACCCTTATTGGCTAGTCTGGTTTTTGAGTGTTTCAGATGTCTTTTTTTGGAATTGTAGGCTAGTGACTCCATTTTAGATTTCTTTGTTCTTCAATTGAGTAAACGCTTGCGTAGTTAGCATAGGCAGTGTAAAAGAAATGGACGTAGTCACTGTGACGTTACACGTTGGTTTCTGGACTGGTATTTGAAACATTTGGCAAACACAGAGTTTGGCATTTTGGCCGCCACCAGCGTCACCAGAACTGACGATATGTGGACGAGACGGTGTAGCTAACTAGCTTGGTTAGCTAGGTGCATCTGTAATTAATGTTATCGTTAACTTTTTACTGGGATATTAATTCTGGCTGATGAAAAACAGGCTTAAAACAAAACATACATACCAGAAAGAATTAACGACCTATTATGCATTTCTATGTTTTATGACTAAAAATGGCCGAAGCTTTAAAAAAAATGAGGTAAACGTATTTAAAAGAAATCCATGTGAGCCAAAACCTCAGATTTTCTCCTGTTTTGAACAACTTTTTCTACCAATGGCTCCATGCTACAACACACAGGGCTAGACGAGTTGATATTCCATATATGGTCATTTGCTCCGGACAGCAACGCTCAGTCTGTCTGTACCGCTCAGCACAACAACTGCCTGGTAACATGCTTCAGGTCATGGCCAATCAGAAGACAGTGGGCTTTGAGAGGGGGGCCTTAAAGACACAGGAGTTTCTAAAGCTTGTTTCAGGCTTAAATGAAGGGCTATGTGAAGGGACAGTATAAGATTTACTTTGAATCATGCAAACTACAATATCTGGAAATGCAGTATAATAGGTCTCCTTTAACAGCTGACTCCTAATAAGCTTGTTCAGTGTTGGTTAACTTTACACAATGCAACAGATATGAGTCTCCTCTATCCTGACTGACAGATTGCCATGGTAGCAACTTCTCAATCACAAGGTAGTCCCGCCCTAAACCCTGCTTTATCGTATATTTTCCTCTAAATTGGGCCATAATTTACTAAATCAGGTGGGATATAGCCTCATTTTACCATTATTTCTGACTTCTTTTTGCAACCAGAGTCGTCGCCCTTGATGGCCGTTTAAGTTACTTCTACATGACTTCAATTTTCAGACACAGAGGTTTCGGCTTGGTTGTTAGTTTTGTTGACAGCGCTACTGTTGAAGGGGTGCACTGTTACAGCCCTGTCACACCAGCATGTTAAAATGGTGAAATTGCACGCTCACACGCTTTGGCATCCGACTCGAGACAACCACTTTTCTTTTGAGGTAACTAAGGTAATGTTAACGGTCTGCTTCTGTCACTTGTTTGTGAGAAGGCAATTTATTTTCAAGCTAGCTGCACCTACGGACCGGTGCAAGCTGACAGGCAGGTTAGTGACTTTATTGTGTCATTTTCTCTCTTTCCAAAGACAAGTGTTGCAGTATGAGAGTTCTACCTGAAGAGAGGCTATGGAGGCTTTATGTTACATGATACGAGAACGACATACAACACAATTTATCAAATTGGGTCGGTTGATGAATTTAGCGCAATACACATGTGACAACATCCAGTTTTTAAAATAAGGTGTCTATGCAGTATGGAAATGAGATTTATTGGATTCTATTCACAGAAAGTATAAAACATATTACAAGTGTCCATTTAAAAGTACAATAATAAAAAACGTCTGTTGCTGTTTCATCACCATTTATAGCTACTAATGTTGTTTACTATAGCACAACATTGTGCAAAGTTCGATAGCCTCGTAATTTGGCACCAAATTAATACATGTTCATCATATATCCAACTTGACATGAACTTCACTGCAGTCCGTTCTTCCACACGTGCCCGTGCTGGCCTACGGACATACAACTTACTGAGTAGTTCGCGAAGACATGCTGCTATTGTGATGCAGCAAGTAGCGTCAGTTGTCTAATCCACAACTTTGCTAACATTAGTTACATTACTTGCTGTGTCGTTGTTCACTCTATCATGGTATTTGTCACGGTGTTACATTTCTCCCTTCTAAGTTTTTACTTACCCAACCTTCATAATGCAGAGAAATATCCAAAGTTCCAGTTGGAAATGCCATATTTCATTGAATTTTCAAAAAATGTTCTATATAGGGATCGTTATTGTAATATGAAATGACCTATATCGGGATATAAACTTTTTGCCATATCGCACAGCCCTACTTCCAATATAACATCATAATATATGACGACACATTCAAAGCTTCATTCAAAAACCCCAATAGAAGCTTGGTAGAAGCAGAAAAATCAATGACAAATGACCAAATCAACAAAATCTCAACAAGTCAGTCAAAACAGAAACGCAAAATGCTCTGATTCTGAAATGCTCCCCGAAGCCCTGCAGAAGACGGGAAAAAAACGGGTCGCAGAGAGGTGTGCCTGGTAGTAGAAGCTCAAAAAGGTTAACAACGTCAGGCAGGCAAAACGCTCTGCTCCTTAAATGCTTCCAGTGGTTTGGTTGTGTGGTTTTATTTTACATTTTTTTGACATTTCAATTTTATTGTCTGAATATTCTTAAGAATAAATCATTCAGTTGCTCTTTGAAAGGGTGCACTTGTATTTTTAAGCTATTATATTTTCACATCAGTGCCATAATGGTCTTAAAATAACAATATTGTTTGTCGCAATTATTTCAGGGACAATATATCATCCAAAACTAGTTATTGTGACTGGCCTAACAGAGACAGACAGCAGGTTCAGTTCATCTGAAAACTGCAGGCTTTCTGTCCTTCAGACTCCATCCCCACCTGGTAATAATAACGTGATCTATCTATCTAGATAATAACATCAGATCACAACTGGTCTATTTTGCTCACATTGTGATCAGATCTAAATGTGCAAATTAGGTAGACAGAGCTGGCGGATTTGTCCAGCAAAATCTGTGACAAAAAATATTAGTTTGCAGTGCCACGTGTTTATGTTAATTGCTTTGAGACTCTCAGCTCCGGTCCTGAATGCAGTGAAGTTGGCTAAACTACTTTTGAATCAGGCGCTGGAACAACATCCTCTACCATTCAGTTTGACTCTGACAACGCCATCAGGAGCCAGGCAGGAGAGTTGCTCTCTGGTGAACTATTTATTTTATAACAAAACTATACCCAGGACACACATTTTATTTCTTTGACACTGGAAATCTGATCCGACCACAGATTATGAAATAAGGCATTAAAAACCCGAGTCTTCAAGGTAAAACATGAGACTCATGTAAGCAGTTATGAGAGTGTTGGGCAGCTCAGCAGGATCACTGAAGCCAAGGCTGTGAATATTACATTTCTAGTAATTGGAGGTGAGGTGTCTTGAAGAAAACACATCAGTAATTTCTCCGTATAAAAGGGCTCTATGCTTACTTCAGTTTGTCCCGTTGATTGATCATCTTGTGGATATTGCTGCAGGCTCACTGCAAATGACACTCGACTCTATTGCTCCTCTAAAAAAGGAAGATATTAAAACAAAACACAAAGAGGTATAACCCCCAAACCAACAATTTAAAGCACTGGAAAGGAAATGGCGTTACACCAATCTGGAAGGATTGTGTTTAGTCTGGCAAGATAGTCTTAAAACATATAGGAAGGTCCTCCATAATGCCAGACTATTAATAGAGGAAAACAAGAACAACCTCAGGTTTCTTTTCAACACTAGGCAGACAGTCACAGCTCTATTGAACCATGTATTGCAATAGCCCTGAGTAGCAACAACTTCATGAGATTGTTTAATGATAAAATTATAATTATTAGTGATGAAATTCATCATCTCCTGCCCTTTATTGGTACTGATTAGGAACAACTTAGGAACCTTACAAAACAACTGAACACCTGATATGTATTTAGACTGCTTTTCTCCCATTGATCTTAACCAACTAACTTAAGTGATTTTCTCATCTAAACCATTCACCTGTTTCTTACTGTGCATTCAGACCAAATGCAAATTTGATCCTTGCAATGCTTTCCTCGCGGGGGTCTTATTGCTGGACTACTGCCAAGTGTTCACACCTAACTCAATAACGCAAATAAACACAACCCGCAATTACTACAGCTGTACAAACCCAAAGTAAATATTTTGCTGTGATTTTATTGCAATAAACGGATCAAACTGATGTCGATTTAACAGTCCTTTAAAGTAGCCATAATTAAACTTACCTTTCTCTCCAAGATCCTTGAAAAGTTGTGACTTTTTACAAGACAATAGTTTCTTTGAGGATTTTCAATCAGGAGTGCATCATAGCACAGAGACGGCACTGGTGAAAATTACAAATGACCTAATTGCATCAGATAAAGAACTTGACTCTTGTCTTGTTAGATCTTAGTGCTACATTCGATACCATTGACTGTCACTTCCTATTACAGAGACTAGAAGATAAAATTAGCAAGTTAAAGTCCCATTTATCAGATCTATCTCAGTTTGTACATTAACGATGAATCCTCCATGCACGCCAAAGTTAGTCACGGAGTTCCACAAGGTTCTGTGCTTGAATTCCATTCACCTTATATATTCTTCCTTTTGCCACTATTATTAGGAAGCACTCAAACTTGTTATTGTTATGCAGATGATGTCCAATTAGGCCTATATCCTATCAAGCAAGCAAGAGACCGCTACAAGTAGGCAGGTATGTAGACAGGCAGATAGACGGGCCAGCCAATCATTTTGTTCAGCAGAATGAAATGATTGGACATGATGATTGAAGTCCTGCGACAGCCACACATGATTTTTTTGTGTCAGAGCATTTGATTTACTGATTGCTGTCGGGATTTTAAGACAGTATTAACAAATACAACATGCTTCTAAAAAATACTGCCTACTCTGGGGCGGATCCTTCCCTCATATCATGAGTGTTGCATAGTTTGCCCACCAGAGGGTGTGCTGCAGCTCCTCTGTTCAAAACACTGCAGCACCACAGAACAAAATATGACTTAAATAATAATAAATATAGCGCTCATCACTTTGCCTCCTCGGAAAACAGACTTGCAAACCCTCCCATTTTTCACTGCCTTTACTGCTTTTCCAGTAGTATATTGTGTCTATATACACTCACCTAAAGGATTATTAGGACCACCTGTTCAATTTCTCATTAATGCAATTATCTAATCAACCAATCACATGGCAGTTGCTTCAATGCATTTAGGGGTGTGGTCCTGGTCAAGACAATCTCCTGAACTCCAAACTGAATGTCAGAATGGGAAAGAAAGGTGATTTAAGCAATTTTGAGCGCGGCATGGTTGTTGGTGCCAGACGGGCCGGTCTGAGTATTTCACAATCTGCTCAGTTACTGGGATTTTCACGCACAACCATTTCTAGGGTTTACAAAGAATGGTGTGAAAAGGGAAAAACATCCAGTATGCGGCTGTCCTGTTGGGAGCGAAAATGCCTTATTGATGCTAGAGGTCAGAGGAGAATGGGCCGACTGATTCAAGCTGATAGAAGAGCAACTTTGACTGAAATAACCACTCGTTACAACCGAGGTATGCAGCAAAGCATTTGTGAAGCCACAACACGCACAACCTTGAGGCGGATGGGCTACAACAGCAGAAGACCCCACCGGGTACCACTCATCTCCACTACAAATAGGAAAAAGAGGCTACAATTTGCAAGAGCTCACCAAAATTGGACAGTTGAAGACTGGAAAAATGTTGCCTGGTCTGATGAGCCTTGATTTCTGTTGAGACATTCAGATGGTCGAGTCTGAATTTGGCGTAAACAGAATGAGAACATGGATCCATCATGCCTTGTTACCACTGTGCAGGCTGGTGGTGGTGGTGTAATGGTGTGGGGGATGTTTTCTTGGCACACTTTAGGCCCCTTAGTGCCAATTGGGCATCGTTTAAATGCCACGGCCTACCTGAGCATTGTTTCTGACCATGTGACTGACCATTCTGCCTCTGTCTGAAACAAGCCGTAGGTGCTCCTGTCTCTTTAAGCCACATGTCACCACAAAATATGTAGGCCTACTTACTTCGTCCTTTGCTCTGCATGAAGAGAAGGCTGAAATATGAGAGCGCATACTGTACGTACTTGGTTCATGAGATTTTGCGGGTGAGTACACACCTTGGCAAGTAGGCACATCATTTCATTCAAGATGGGATGTGCTCGGTGTGGTGTTTGTCCCGACCCTCCTGCACTGTGATTGAATGGCTGTGTAAAAAGTGACAGTGACGAGCGCAGCGTTTTCCCCAAAGTGTAAAATGTTTCAACTCTCGGCGATTGGGAAAAAAACGCTCAGCACCCAGTGTGGAAAAGACGCTCAGCACCTCTTCACACTCCTGGCATTTTTACCAGCTTGGAAAAACGCAGCGCTCCCATTGCAATGAATTGAAAATAGACGCTGGCGTCAGAAAAAACGCTTTGGTGGACACTAAGTCAGAAATAAACTTTCGGAATTTCGGAAACCATATGTACGGTAATCAATGGTAAGAGACAACTTTTTGTCCCGTAAGAATTGAGCCTTGAATTACACATATGATGTTGGTCAATTTAAAATACAATTTCCCAAGTCAAGGAAGTCGCGGTTTGTTGTAAAACAGTAAAGTTACATGTCGTTTTGTGTGAAAATCTGTTCAACGAACTACATCTCTCATCTTGCACAATATGCGTCAACAACATGTTAGCGTGGTAATGCTAGCTAACGTTCGTTGCTTGGTTGCTTCTAGCTGGATTACTTAGCTGTGTTCCCCGCAGAAATATATCTCACTTGATGTGTTTAATCCAACGACTCTCAGTCCTGTTATCACATCCTTCTCTCATGTAAGTTTTTTGACATTAGTTTCAGTCATTGAGAGAGACAGTTAGTCTTATTTCTTGACTTTAAAATAAATCTTATAAATTGACAAACATCATGTGTAATTCGGGGCACAATTCAAACAGGATCAAAATATTTGTTGTCCCTACCGTACAAGTTTATTTGTATAGCATGGTTCAACAACAAGGTAATTAAAAGTGCTTTGGTGCATGGTGGTCCACAGGAAGGGGGAGGGACTTAGGCTCTCTATACATAGAATGGAGCCCTTGGTAAAAAAGCAGTTCAAAACAGTGTTCAGAACAGGAGGAAATCTGAGGTTTTTGCTCACAGGGATTTCTTATAAATGTTTTAATCTCATTTTTTGAATCTTTGGCTATGTTTAACATGCACATCCAACATTGTAGATTAGTCATAAAATGTGGAAAAGCATAATCGGTCTCCCTTTAATTAGATTCACTCATTTATATCTAATTTATTACTTCTAAATATTTTCTTACATCGCTCACAACAGATATTTCTACCTGTTGCTAAATTAGCCACAAAGCTAATGCCGTGTGTATCAGTGGAGGAGGCTAACATTAATGAGCATTTAAACTGTAGTTATCTGTAGTTACAGTCGGCGTGTCAGAAATGATTACACCGGATAAACATGAGCTGAACAAGTATCTAACACACAGTTGCAGGTCCTCGTTGTAGACGGTCATGTAGTATTGGATTAATTTAAGGACAGCGTTTCCTCTGCGTCACTGTATCATAGAGCCAGAAATGGTTTCTGTGCCATTGGATATAATTAACAAAGTGCAGGTGATAAACTAGATGTATAGTTATTGTGGCAGATTGTAAGTAATAAGTACTGCATATACATTTGACTATTATTCAAAACTTTAATATACTTTGTTGTAATTGTTTATTTTTAAACGGCATTATGTCATGGTATCTTTGGGAGGTCTCAACATAACAAATGTTAGGATAATAGTTGTTTATGTCATGCGTTTATTAAAATAAGGAGGGAAAAGAATATCGGCTGATATATCAGCTATCGGATTTTAAAATCCTCAAATATTGAAATCTGTATCGGACTTATAAATCCCATATCAGTCGGGCTCTAATTATGATAAGATCTTTGTCAAAAAATATGCATGAGTCAAATTAAGTAAAAGCTTTTTTCTGTCCTTTCACCTCAACAAAATAAACATCTTAATAAAAAAAACAAGTCCTAATTCATGTATAGTTCAAGTGAATAAATTGTTATTGAAATAAATTATATTGAGATAATTATTCTTTTGTCTATCCCTATCTACAATTTTTTTTTTGTATTTGTGGAAAATACTATTCCATAGGTCTCCTCATTCCTCTCCAACTAATTCGACTACTTCCCTCTCTTGTACTTTTGTGCTTTTTTTCTCACTCTCCTCCTGTCGCTCTTAGCAGGTATTTCTACCTCCGGAGCTGCCGAGTCTGGATCTATGATTGCAAGCCACCTACTGCCCCCATGTTCCTGCTTGACGCCAGCTGCTCCATTTGTTAGTCTGATTATTATTATTAGTACTACTATCTCCACCACCACCACCTTCTACATCTCTATGGAAAACTTGCATTGTGCTACTGTGTGTCTCTTTCCTCCTGCTTTCTCCCGCTCCGTCTCAACCCAAACGGTCGAGGTAGATGGCTGCCCACCTTAAGTCTAAGTTCTGCTTGAGGTTTCTGCCTGTTAAAACGGAGTCTTTCCTTGCCACTGTCGTCAAGTGATTGCTCATGGTGGGAATTGTTGGGTCTCTGTAAATAAGATTACACAGATAATGGTATAGACCTTCTCTGTAGACAGGTTTCTGTGCAACGTCATCACAGAGACATGCACGCTTTCTTGGTACAATAAGTAACCTTAGGAGTCAACAACCAGCCAAACTGAAAACACTGCAGCCTTGCAGTCGTGCATGTTATAGTAACATGCAATTGAAACAAAAACTAACAGATCCAACTGAAATGACTATTATTGTGTCAACAAGAATTTACAAATGATGCGAGATATACATTGATTGCAATAGTTGACTACAGTCAACTACCGGCTACCAAAGCAGTTTTGCCCCCTGAATGTGGGTGCATCCAGTAGTGTTTGTATACAAGAAACCCGTCTATGAAACAAGCATGTTTAACTGAATTTAATGCACCAACAGCGTTAGCATGATGCCATGCTGGCAGTAATTCACCCTGACTCACTGAATAAAGACCCACTTCTTAACACTACAGCTGGAAAGACACATTGCACTGACAAAAAAAACATTTAAAGAAATAATTTGGCACAAAAGAACACATGCATGATGTTGCAACTGGACCGCAGTATGAAACCAAATGCATAAAATAAAAGGTAATAGTTTTGTTTCTCATCCAGGTTACTGTACTAGTGAAAATGCCTGCAGCTGCTGCCTGCAGCTGCGTGGTTACAGAGCAGTTAGTGAGCCGCCACAAACGAAAAATAATTGGTTAGGTGCCTGGTGGGTGGGGGGATTCATTTGATGTGCCAGAGCAGGAACTCTATACAAAACATGACGTTTCAAGCCAGATCCTAACTAAGTTACTGTTGGAAATTCTGCAGCTCCATATGACATGATATATGATTTTGTGTGTATTAAAAAATATACGTGCAGTATATAGCAAACACATTTATGCACACACAGCCCTTTTCCACTGCAGGTGCTTAAAAGTAAAGTCATGCAGCAAATTAATGTTTCTTCCTATAAATTTAGTTACATAGCAGCCAAAAGACGTACTGTTAGCTTTCCTGCTCAGCGTCCAGACCGCAGTCTGAAACCCAGGGGAGATACTTGCAAGGGCTAACAGCCTTCCTTTTTCCAGCAGTTGGGAAACAGACTTTTATTAACTGACACAATGTGACCTACAACGTACATATACTGGCTGATTGACAACTTACAGCTAATCTTTTCCTATGCTCGCTTTTACTGCCGCTTTCTACTGCTATGTCTCTTTCACTCATCCTGCCCTAATCTTTGCTCTTATAACAGCAGCTTTCACGTAGATGTCTTTTGAAGAATCAGGAGAGGAAGCTAGCCAAGTGTTGAGTGCTGCTGTGCTTGCACAGTGTGCGAGTGAAAATCATTTGTAGCCCGTTGATATTAATGATGGTGTGTAATGTAATGTAATGTGCAATGGATAAGACAACAATTGCAATAAAACCTTTGCGAGTAAAAAGACAATACTTTATCATTACAACGGTCTGTAAGGTAAACATGGACTGCTCTGTTCTCAGCCTCTCATTCTGTATGTTTTATTCAAGCACAGCTAACGTTCGCTTAGCATTAGCCAAATGATAAAAAACAAGCTAAATAGAAAGCTGTGTGTCTGTAGCATAGACTGGTCTGTAGTCTTCAAATTTGGCACATTGTTAAAAACTCAGCTGCTGGCTGAGACACAACAACCGCTCCTCCCTCTACCAGGTAGCGTTACCTGCAGGCAGTGAATAACAGCAGACATTAGGAAGAGGAGGGACTGATACGAGTGATATGAGTTTTTATTCTTTATAAACATCACTCACTATTGTGATGTCAGAACAAAGATCAAATAGAAGTGAGATTCTTTACTCGGTAACTAAAACGGAGTGTTCAACACACAGGGTGAAAAGAGGTACTGCAGCAATGTGCAGTTTGATATGGTGTTTTCTAAAAACCAGTTTGTTTAATGTTATGGTAACTTAAGCCCTGGATATATGCTTTTAACTACGCATTCGCTTATACAAGATGGCTAACACGCGTATCCTGCTCTCCTTTGGAGCGTAGGTCGTGCACGTCTCCAGAAATTAACGCTACGTGTCTGCGAGATGCAATTCCGCACATGAACGTGGGGGCAGTATGTCGACCTGACCGGCAGGTCAGCAGCACTCTACTGTTCCACACACCAGGCCAGGTGGTGGCGGTATGCAGTCGGTTTGCCAACCGTCATTAAAGGCAAAAGAAGAAGGTCAACAGCAGACTTTAAAAAGGAGATTTATGGCGGGATGTTTACAGTAAAACTCTTGGAGCTAGTCCGCAATTACCAAGAGCGTTATGTCTCATATCACAACCCCCTTGAGAGTTGCTTTGTTCGGTTTGTTTATGATGAATGAAACAATTAGTGAATTAAAACAGTATTGGTGTCGTCAATACAAAGTGTATTCAGGATCCATACTAAAAGTGTCTGTGTGCACAAAAGCAAAAAATGCATGCGGCAAAAAATTATCAGATTTATAAAACTGCGTATGCACATCTGCAGGCACATCTGTACATCTGTCCCTTCTATAAATCAGTCCACGAGGAAATGTGCGCACGTGGATCAGCCTCATATCTAGCCCTATACACACCGACATTCAACCATAAATGGTCAATACAAAGCACCTCGTGAAAATTGAAGCATAGAAATGAGAGTGCAGATCAGTGGTTCTGTGCAGTGAATCACAGCAACAACTGAGAGGAAGACCAAGGAAAATAATTTTTCTGACACAGAAGTCGAGGTGCTTGTGGGTGAGGCAGAGGGTTGTATTGTTTGGTGACCACAGCATTGGGGCCACAAACAAAAGAAAACGCTGCGAGAGGCAACATGCTGCTGCTGCTGTGGTTATTGCAGTGAGTTCATCAAACAGGACAGAAGGCTACATGAAATTAAAAAAGTGGTCAGATCTAAAGGTGGAGGCAAAAAAGAATTGGATCCCACTGTCAGAGCAAACAAGCGTGTTTGGCATAGTGTCAGAAGGAGGGAGGCACTGACAAGGCTGAGACCACAAACCCAGGAAAGCACTATTTTGTCTTCTGTTGCATGGTTGTGTAAACAATTAAAACACAGGCTGCGTGCAGGTGGTGACGATGCGCCTGGTGAAGTGACTGTAGAAGGCAGCGTCTGTGTGGCAGCCACTGCGAAGTCTCAGCGCGCCCAACGTGATATCTCATGGGATGGCGTATAAATAGCACATCACTTTCAAAGGACATTTAGCTTGCCATGTTGCCACATTTTAAGCTTTTCGCATGTAATTTAATGCCGTTACAGATGCTGCATTTCATGAGATTTGGACATGCAGGAAAGGAGTCAGGTGACTTTCATTGTCATGGTAACAATAAGAAACGTATCATTAATGTTGTTAAAGTTTGACAACAAAACTACATGGTTAAAATAAGTACATTCAGTAAGTCAACTCGCATCAATGCTCCGCTCAGCCTGCAGGCCAAAGTTACCCAAATCTGATTTTCTTTGTTCATATGTGACTCAGATCTGATCTTTTTATAACGGTGTGAATAGCCCAAGTCACATGAAATCGGATCTTTTCCAGTTCAGATTTGGGCTACTTTCATTTGTGTTCCAAATCCGATACAGATTGGATTTTTTGGAGTGCGACCTGAGTTGGGACGGTCAGATCTCAGGCTGTGGATGACACTGGAGTCTGATATGGTCCACATTTAAACAATGTGAACTGTCAAAAAAATCATATCTGATGGATTTCTACAACTGACAATAATTTCATTAGATAGCCAAGTTAATGTTGAGGTGAAAAGGAGTTTATTCACATTTAATATCAGGAAATGGCAAGCCAGACTTTCCTGCCACCTGGCATATCCTGGCATCATCCAGCATCCACAGCTGCAGTGCTCTACAACCATGAGTGTCAGTAGCTACAGTCCGGCCGTCTCGTCTGTGCTCCGGGGTGGAGAATATGATGGGGAGACGCCGCTGAAAAAATATTGAGCGGGATTCAATTTGAGATGGCTTATCTTTTACATTTAAAAGATGCCATTTGGAATAGTTATGGCTCACTAGCTATCCACTAATTACAGTTCTTCTATGGTAAAGTAGAACTGTAAGTAGTTTTATGAAGTGAAATTAAATGTGTTTATCATTATTCCTATTCATCTCACATTGAATTAAATTTTGAAATTAAACATCCATATCCACTTAAAAGAACTGTTATTACTATATACATAATTATGTTTTTCATAGACATAGCACAGTATCTGGAGTGCAAAGGTTATTTTGAAACATTTGGCGAGTTTCAGTACTTTATAGTTTGGCGTCACCAACTGACTGAGCCAGACAAGAGATAACAGGACGGCCCGCACATTCTCACTTCATGTCCGTTATTACACATCCCACAGGTGTGTAAAAAGCAGCGTATGCAACCTTTTAGTATGTGTGCACCGTTTATACATGAGGCCCGAGGTCCTTGGACTATATATACAAGTGCAAAGTACTGGAAGGTGGCGGATAGTTTTGAGCACACAAATTGACCTTATTCACAGTTATTCATTTCTGAATACTGAAAATGTACATAGTTAGCAATTATGACATAGATGAGAGAGGAGAGCAGCACACCCTGGTACTTTGCCACTGCATCATGCCTTTTTGGGTGAAAGCACTTTGACCGCCAATTAAGGGCGTGCCCATCGATCGGTCAACGATTGTAATCGGTAGATAATGGCTTTAACTAGTTTGATCGGTGGTCTCTAAAAAGGCAGATCAGAAAAGCAGATCAGATGATGCAATACTT